AGTTTTGCGTTGAAGTCGCCCATCAACACCGTGTAGTGGGTTTTGGAGGAAGGCATGGCTCTGGAAATATCCTCATACATTTCCTCCACCTCCTCATCGGGATGTGCCGAGATTGGTGCGTAAACCTGTATGACCGTCAGCGAATACCGTTTGGTGATTCTGAGTATCAGGTACGCGACCCTCGTCGACACACTCCCAATCTTTACAACGTTGTAGACGAGAGACTTGTGGACGATAAATCCGACACCTCCTTGGGACAGATGGTCGCCCTCCCGGTGGTAGAACAAGTTGCCGGACTCGAGGATTGCCGTATCCTCCCCCCTCTCTTCGGACCTCGGATAATCCAATAATATGCCAGCGCAACTTGTCTACCTCTTCTTCCAGCTCCAGTATCTTCTCGTCAGTCCTCAGAGTGCGTGCGTTATATGTTGCGAGGTCGAGTCGTCGTAGTTGGCAACCGAACCTCCACCGGAGATTCTTAGCACCCCCTGCCCCGCCGTTACCACGGTCGCCACCGTAGCCAGGAATAGCGGGGCCGCCGGGGACTGGGGGCCGTTTTTTTGCGTCGTTATTCATGGGGTATATTTGCCATAGTTGCCACGCTTGGCGAACGGGTTGGCAACCGCAGTTTTTTTATTATAACACAGTTGTTATCAGAAAGATGCTGCTGCCCATCTCCTGCCTGTCTCCCTCTGTCGCCTCTTACGACACCCACGGGAAGATATGCGGTAGAGGATATTCTCAACCGCCACTACACGGCGTCACCACTACGCGGCGTATATTACCTATATTTATGTAAATAGATATTTGAATTTGAATTACTTACGCTACAATTTTGCATACTATATCTTCATAACAATATTATTCATAACGACTAAGATTAAAGTGTGCCAACTTTTCTCATTTAATCTCATGTTCCCTCATCTAGCAGCTTTATTGACGGCGTTATTATATTGTCTTAATTTTACTCCTTATGTTGACGAAAATAAATTTACTGACGTTGCTTTCTTTGTGATAACTTTATGAGACACTCGGCAAATGTAGTTCACACGCACACTTGTGGTATAACCGTATCTTATATTCACATGTGTGGTGGCGCCATAAGGGAATCCACTACCTCATATCATCCCGTGGGTGCCCTAAGAGGCGGCAGAAGTGAATAAAACAGGAGGGGATCAGCAGCAGCAGGAGCTTTATGTGGTAGAGAAATGCTGGAGCTATATTATGATTGTAGCAAAAGTGGGACGGCTCGATCGCGGTAGGAGCAAGCTCTCACAGAATGCCAGTGTAAAATAGCAGTTTAATGCTGCTGTTTGGTCGTATGGTAAATGTTAAGAACCGGAGATAATTTTTATTCAAATCGGGGCATTCCAATTCAGTCCTCAGAGGTGATAACGTATATGCATGTTCATTCTTAATTGAGGATCTTTATTGTGCCACAGTAACCATTTACCATCGGGTGGACTGTGCACTCGCTTACCACCACTCAAAAAGAAGCATATATCAAATAACAACACGACACGTCACATATTTTTATAGAATAAGTGACAAACCAGCACACAGTCCAACTGATGGTAGTTGGATGCTGTGGCCCAAAGAGATCTACATTTATTCTCAACTAAGAAATAAAATGCAGATGCATTGTCACCAATGAGGACTGAGATGGAATGCCTCACTTCCAGTAAAAAGGATCTGCGGTTCACTACACTCAACATACAAACCACAGCAGCATTAAGCTGCTATTTTACTTTGGTATTCACCATTTTTTATATATGATGTATTCACCAGCCATACCATAAATTTCAGTATACATCTTACGATACATTTATAGCAGTATCTTTTTTGTCAGGTCTTTTTAAGACCATGCCAAGCAGCACAACTTCTAATTGTTGACCATAGTGTTTGGAATTCCGGTCCGATCATCATCCTATGTGACGATATGGATAAGGATTAGCCACGTTCAAATTAATATAATTTATTACAATTCATTATTTGTCAGAACCTTGTTGGTTGACAGATGATGTACTGGTTTCAGCTATATTTTCCCTTTAACCTGTACTTATTTTTATTTTTGGCTAGCTGTTCTCCGCGACATCCGCATGAAATGGGTTTTGACTTTTTTTACGCGGAAGCCTGATTGTATTTCAAAAATAAAAATAGATCTTAGGTACTCCTTATAAATCGGCTATCAGCCAGCCAGCCAAAGCTGTCTGTTCCGTCCTAAGAATATATGATAATGTCCATGTGTTACGGCATCCACTTCTAAACAGCTGGACTGTGTGTTCGGTTGTGATCCTTATTCTATATAAAAAGTTGATTTGTTTTGTCGACCCTGTGGGCCAAATTGCAATGCGTCGTTATAGCTTATAGAAAAAGGATCTCTGGTTTTCCACACTTACCATAAGAAACACAGCATTAGACCATATTAAACACAATATTATTATTTTACACTGTTAATTAATCCCTGAGAGCGTAGACCTTCTCTGCTCGAGCCGATCCATTTATGCTGCAACCATAATTCAATTACAGCGTAACTATACCTCAGGCATCCTACTCTAGGAGATTTGTCTAAATCATCACTCTTGACAGGTGTATTAACGATCGCGGTGCCAGAGCGAACGAACGTTTGTTTGAGATATGGAGTGTAGAGGGTAGGAGTACAGGTTCTGTATAAAAAAGTGTCCTTAGGAAAGCGCTAAATAAGGGTGGCGCCACTGTAGCTACAGTCTAAATTTTAAAGAGCTTTTATATTTTTTTACTGCACATACTTTCACCATAATTCCTTTTACAATAATTATTTTATTGTTTTTAAATTTTTTATTTTCAAAATCACTCTCAATGTATTTTTACGGCGATTTATCATACCCTGTAGCTACTCGAGCGCTGTTGTGGAGAGTTTTGAACTGTTATTTACTGCTTACAGATGGACACATTTTCAACTATTCTCCTATGGGAGATTGTCCTCCTTACCTCTATACTCCATGGTTTGAGTATTTTACGCTTAACGTAAAGAGGTTATTATACCGCCATCTACTGGAAATTAATGCTTATGATAAAGAGGTTGTCATACCGACATCTACTGGAAATTTACGCTTACTGTAAAGAGCTTGTTATACCACCAAGAGGTTGTCATACCGATAACTATAAAATGTTTCTGTCGTTTCCTATACTTGTCTCTTACGTCACTTATGAAACCAAATCGTGTGACAAATAATTTTAAAATGATTTTATACATATTTACGCTTATTGTAAAGAGGTTGTTATACCGCCATCTACCGGTAATTATAACATGTTTCTGTCTGTGTCTACGTAATTTGTGTGAAGCGCCCTCCACATTCACGCCGTGAACACCTGTGAAAGGCGTGAACCGCGAATGTGGATGACTTTCGCGCCCGTTCACGGGCTTTGCGCTTTTCACGCCTTGTTCCCCGTTCAGTGTCGCTTTTTTGTGCCCGCTTCAAAGGGTTTACAAGGCGTGATCCTCCCGTGAACGCAAGCGCATCCACACTCGCGCGTGAAAACAGTAACGCGCGAGACTCGTTGCTGTGAGCTTGTGCTAATTTGTATTTTTTTACGGAGGACGGTGCCTCAAAATGAGCGTCAGTTGGACGAACGAGCAGGAACTCTTGTTGATCGACTGTCAAAGATCATAAAATGAAAGTACATGAAGTATGGATACGAATAAAGGAAATTATGAATATTATTTTATTTTATAAGATAGGGTGACAAACGAGCACAAAATCCACCTGATGGTATATGGATGCTGTGGCCCATAGACATCTACATCTACTCTTGATTACGAATAAAAATGCAGATAAGTTGTCACCCGTGAGGACTAGGATGGAATGCCTCGTTTGCCAGTGGTATGCTTGGGTTTAGTTTTAATTTTATTGATTATATGATCCCAAGCAGGTGGTAGTACCCAGCCTCCTTCTCTATTGAAATTAGGATGTTTTTTTTAATTTCAATAGCCTCACGTATCATCCTTGGTAGGAATCGGTGTTCTTTCGCGAGGATTTGTGGTCTATCAATTCTGATGTAATGGTTGGGGCCGTCTAGGATATGATCGCAAACTGCAGACTTCCCGGAACGTTGATGCTTCACATCAGCTATATGTTCTTTTACGCGGGTTCTAATTGATCTTTTTGTTTGTCCTATATAAGAGAGACCACATTCACAATCAAGCTTGTACACTCCTGCATCTTGTAGAGGTATATGACACTTGACTGATGGTAGGAACTGACTAATCTTCTTCGGCGGCTTGTAGAATGTTCTAATAGAAGCTCGCTTCAAGATGTAGCCAATCTTGTCTGTGACACCTCTGACATATGGTAGTACAGCAGGCACACGCTCGACTGTGGCCGGCTTCACTCGGTCACTGTGACATAGGCGCGGGACCCGAAGCTTGTTGTCGTGCAGAACTTGCTTGATGTGCTGAAGCTCGGCGGCCAGGTGTTTGCTATCACAGATCCCTCGTGCTCTCTGTAACAAAGATTTGCCCACGGTAGCTAATTGTGAAGGATGGTGGTGAGATTCACCGTTTAAATATCGGTTTGTATGGGTCTTTTTCCTATACACAGTGTGACCAACAGTGTTGTTAGGATTTATTTCTAAGTTTTCAAGCAATAGTTTAAAAAACTAACTTTGGAGATTTTTGATAAAGAATTTTTTTTCTTTGAAGCTATATACATATATTAGTATATACATATGATCACAGACTACAAACTTCCCGGAGCGTTTAATGTTTCACGTCTAAAATGATAGATCAGAAATCCTCGCAAAATATGATAAATTGCCTGCAAAGATAATTCGTGAGGTTCATAGATTTATTCTAACGTTAGTTTGAATTTTAAAGAAAATTACTTATTTCAATAGATAAGAAAGATAGGATATAGAAAGGTACCAGTATTAATAATATCAAAAAGAAACCCAAACATACCAATGCAATACTTCAAGATTCAATTAACTCATATAATAATAATAATAACAACCGCTATAAGCGAGGTCAATGAACCGGCTCGCGCTGATAAGGACGTACCTGTCCTATTGTCACGCGATATTCCTGTCTCGGTCGCACCACTAACTGTACATCGGTGCGAGGCGAGTTCTCCAGTGAACAACGGGTCGCAAGTGGAGGCCCTCACCGTGGTTTCGAAAAATGTAGCCAATTGTGCTAAAACCACTGCGCCTGCGCGTGTGCACTCCGAGCCTACGCCGATTAACGAAAACAGTGCGAATGAAAAACATGAAACAACAATGAGCTCGAGACGTAAAAGGTTTTCCGATGTGGTGCGCGAGGGTGGTCAATGGAAACCAGAAGCACCAAAGGATGAATGGATTCTTTTGCAAAGAAGACGGCTGAGAAATCGTTTTATGGCGAAAAAAGGAAAAGCAGATCTAGAGTTGGATTGCGGTTTCAAGGCGGCGGATGTTAAAATTCCGTTTTACTTTTATAATGTTGACAAATGGCTCAATTGATGGGCATTTCGTTAACAGTGTAAGCTATGCAGACGACATGGTGTTGCTGAGTGCATCGATTAACTCACTGAGGATATTACTAAATATTTGTGATACATTTGCGACATACAGAGACTCACGGTCTCATTTATAATGTAAAAAAGTGAAGTGTTGTTATTTCGAGCTGGATCAAAAATTGAAACTATTCCACCTGTTAAATTAAGGAACATACAGTTAAATAGAGTTTATCAATTTAGGTATCTTGGTCACGTTTTAACTGAGGATCTGACTGATGATGCGGACATAGAAAGAGAAAGAAGGGCATTGGCGGTTCGCTGTAACATGCTGTCCCGTAGCTTTGCACGCTGTACAGAAGTAGTTAAGGTAACACTTTTCAAAGCCTTTTGTCTATGGGTTAAGTACACGCAGAGAGCCTACAATGCCCTTCGGGTACAATATAATAATGCCTTCAGGATGCTGATGGGGTTTCCGCGGTATTGTAGCGCTTCAGGGATGTTTACAGCGTACGGTACGGACGGTTTTCATGCCATAATTCGAAAGAGAATAGCATCCCTCATGCGCAGGGTTCGTGGGAGCTCCAATAGCATTCTGAAGGCAATATCTGATAGATTTGATTGTCCCATACTAGGGCACTGGATGTGTATGCACTTGCATGTGCCTGGTGTCATGGGGCGCCAAAAATAAAAAAAAAAATTGTTATGAAAATTGTACGTGTAATAATTTAAGACTAACATAGGTTAAGCTAATTTACTAACATATTATGGACTATATGTGGGTCTGAAATAAATTTAATTATTATTATTATTAAATGCTTTATAATGAAAGAATATCGGAACTTTATCCTGGAAAGCGGCCCCTAGCAGGCGTCCCTTCGCAATTATGAACGATTTTTGTTTGTGTAAATTTCAGTCCGACATTTTGTTAATTTAAAAATTATTTTTATCACAAAATATGCCTACCTACCTATAATTTAAACAAGGTATCCTTATTCCCGCAATCCCCCATCCCAATCCCCCAAAAAATATATATCCGCAAGTGAATATTTGCCTGTCTAGGAATGCTTAAACAGTAGTAATGTGGATGTCGTTTTCGTCAAAAGTGGTTCGCTGTTTTCATTCATCAGCAAGAAAAAGTTAGTATAATTCCGAATTACTGCATTAAAAATCTGTGCCTTTATGAAGGATATAGAGAACCAGTATAGTTGCAGGTTGTGAGACATTATACTACAGACTTCTTAGTCTTCAGAAATGACGTTTTCTCTAAACTTTATTTTTTTATAATCTTTTGTACCATTCTATATTATGCATCATTATTTATATTTTATAGTTTGTAATAAAAATTATGTTATTTTTGTGGTCAAACCACACACATGTTTTTATTGTTTTCTTGCAATCCTGTCCATCCAAAGGTTGTCTGGAAGAGATCGCTCTTAGCGATAAGACCGCCAATTGTACGATATTTCTTTGCATCCTTTTTTGTTAATAATAAAAATATTTATGTTTTTTGGCGTGCAATATAATGTTATCTCTCTATCCATCTATTTATATATCTTAGTCCAATCAAAAGAGTGAAAAACATGTACTGAAAAGCAAAAAAAAATATAATGGCTTCTGAATTCAGGGATTAATTCTTCGGTACATAATGTTTTAGCACCATTAAAATATATTAAGAATTTTCATAAAATATATAAAATAATATACAAACATATATTACATAAATAATATTTAAAGTTAAACGTAATGTGGATAAATACCTAACTAATTCGTTTATAATAACTAAAGCTCGGCTCTAAACGGAACTCTTTATGCAAACACAGTTCTATTGAAATATATTCATGTTCTTACCAATATTACGTCGTTAAATCTAGAGTCCGCCCGCTGGGCACCAACGAATAAAACCGCATCTAATGCCTGCTTAAAGTTTTCTTTATGCGCACCCCGGGAAACCGCTCCGGAAATCACATTTCTCGTCTATAAATAGTCTTTCAGCTTGTTTGCAGTATATTCTGGGTATTAACCGTTTTGCTTGCTTTGATAAGGATTAAAATGCGATCTTTTCTGCAATCCTGTGGGTATTTAAGAATGAATTTCAACAAAATATTACACATAATGTTTTTTTAATATCAACAATGTTATTTTTTAATGTGATATAAATCTATTGAAAGCAATTTTATTAGAAACCTCAGCTAACAAAAATAATTTATTTTAATAGCGCGACACGTAACCGCCTTTTACTGTGCCAGAATGCCACACAAATGTATATTATATCAGTTAATGCCGCAAAACAAGCATTATAATTTATTTACAATGGAATTAACTCTAAAAACATGTTTCTACCTTCGGAAAATGTCCCATTTCAGCATGGATATTGCAAAGTGAGATTTTTTGCAGTAAACCACACTCTTTTTTTGAATTGAATTTGGAAGATGTTAATTCCAAAAGATTGGTCTGCATTTATTTACAAACCACCGTCATTTCCAGTAGTAGAAATTTCATTTCCTATTTTGATGCATGTGTTGTTTTTTAAATGACCTATGTTTTCATTCAGTAAATATTAGTAACTATATCATGTGATGGCGGGGTAAAAGTACATACTACCATATATCTTTTCTAATAGAGTTTAGACTAGTTTACTGACTCCATTCATCAAAAAGCTGTATCACTTCTAAGTTATTTAGAATCTCGAAATTTGGCATTAAGTTAGATAGAAGTATACAAAGGAAATAATCTGAAAACTAAAATTATCAATACTCGATGTCGATTTTTGATTCATCATTAAATTAAAAATTCCACCAAAAACATAAATATAAAAGGGGTCAAATTCGGTCCAAACAGCGTTTGGGGTCGTTGGCTTCTCCGATAGAATGGTTGAGATCTGAGTGGACGCTAAGGCCCATAGCAGTTTATTTTTTAATATAACCCCGATGTTCTATAAATTAAATACATATTATACATAAAGTAAATATCTATATATGTAGATCCCTTGGTAGGGTAAAATAAGAACGGAGGCCTTATTCTCATAAGATTTTAAGGTATTTTGTTACACGTCCTAAAGCCTTAGTTAACCTTCTTACCTACCTACAGTACCGTACTTTTAGATTTCAATTATTTTTTTTATATTTTCGACACAATTTGAGAAGAAAAGATCCGTGGTACCTTAGGCTCTGAGCGTTTTGCACGCGTGCCAATTCGAGTCCAATCTTCGTCGATACCATAGAATTGTTTGTAGCAATTTCAAGTGCTGATTTATCACAAGTTGGATCTACACGTCTAACTTTTTTACTATAGGATAAGACCAACAAATGAGCACCGGACAGTTTTATGTTCATGCGCTCCTTTAAACTGGTTCAACATTCATTCGATAGAATCGCTTAAGCATTTCAATGGAAAGATCTTAAATGCAAGCATAGCTGTTTATAACGAAACTGATATGTGTGACATTCGACTGCATTCAACCCGAAATGTTATCTCTCTCGTATAAACTGTATTTCAATAAGTTCCACATCTTTAATTATGGTATTTTCATTTCTTCATAATATTTTTGACGAAGTATACAAAAATAGAACTAGTATCATGTTTTATTATTAGAATTTCCGTAGTTAAACTATGATTAATTTATATATTTATTTATTCAAACAAACAAAGAATATCTTAATTTCTAGGATACAAATACTTTAAGATACAGCTTGACAAAAAATACAATTCAGTGAACATCTGTGTCTGAACTAGATAACTTTAAGATTTACATTTCACTCTATATAAAAAGATCAAACTTCATTAACTTACAGTTGTGGAGTGTAGATGAGCCTGCTTGTGTATAGAGTGTGTGTATGTGTGTAGGAGGTTGAGTATAATATTCATCTAGGTACATTAATATAACCCCGATGTTCTACAAAATTGTTCGGTTTCCTTAAAGTTTAGTTTATGAATAAATTCGAATAATTTCCTTTTACAGTCTCTAATATTTAAGCTTCGTATGTCCATAACTTTGCTGACTTTAGAGTATAGATATGAACCCAAAAAGGGAAAATATTTGTGTGTTGTAAGTTGTAAATATAGGTGTTTAAATGTTGGTCTATTGGTGAAAGTTACATCTCTGCGGCGCTTGGAAATGGTGAATGTATCAGAGCTTGAATGTTGTTTCATAATAGTGAGCAGGATGAACAGTTGGCGAATCGAGAGGACTTCACAAGATTGATACAGGAGGTAGGTAGGAAACAAATAGGGGCGAAAAGTGCTTACTTTAAGAATAGCTCTTTGAGCTATTTCAAGTGGTTTAATAGTGTTTTTTTGGGGCACCTCCCCATACAGTTAGGCCATAACACACTGTAGATTGTACAAGAGCCAGGTAGATCTGTTTAACCAGTTTAGGATCTGCCACATTCCTTATATTTTAATACGTATATCAGATTTCTCAACCTTGTAGTAATTAAATTAACATGAGATTGGAATGAAAGATTGTTATCTATAAGGATACCAAGATATTTAACCATATTGGTAGTAATCAGTGAAGGGCAATGGCATACGTCAATATTGCAGCAATCATGCGCAATCAGAGAGTGCGAAGGAGTTGTTGAGGTGGTGTTTCGCATAGAGAAAGATATGTGTACAGTTTTTCTGCGTTTAGGGTCAGGACATTGAACTTTAACCAGTGACACACAGTGTTAAAGCCCTCCTGCGCCAGTCTATAAACATCATCCCACTTGTCGGCTGAGAACAAGGGCGCAGTGTCATCTGCGTAAGAGATAAAGATCACAAAGGTCGTTTAAATAGGCTAGAAAGAGAGTTGGCCCTAATATACTGCCTTGCGGCACACCATAAGTAATAGGTAGGTCATCACTAATAAAGTCATCAATCTTGGTGCATTGATAGCGATTTGAAAGGTAATCTTCAATTAGTTTTAACTGATTACCTCGAAATCCCATCCTGTCTAATTTATTAAGTAGCATTGGCACTGAAACTGTGTCAAAGGCCTTTGCTAGGTCAACAAATATGCCTATT